AAACTTTGACTATGCGAAGCCATCTATGGCAACCCCCTCCCCCCCCCCCCCCCCGAAACGTTGCCAGCAGTACTATCTCAAGCATGCATAGCCCCGTAGTTGCCCGTCTGCTGAAGGTCATACATTAGCACTGACTGACTACTAGGGCCAATAGGATTTTAACTAAATGGATGGAACTGAACATACGGACTTTTGGGCCTGCCTTAAAAAGCAACAGATAAAAGCTCCGCATACCTTTCCCCAGATAAAGCTTCTCATACATCAGCTTCGAGAAAGAAGGGATAACCATCGTCTGTAGCCGCGCAGGTAGGATCCGCAGAGCGGAACTTAGATGGGAGTGGACGATCAAAGGAAACTGGTGGATTAGTTACATAATCAAGTTCTTAGCCCTGCCGTTCTCTGTCCTCGTTTCTGGGTAACTGGAATGATAGTATACCTAGGTTCTGACTGACATGCAAACCTCATAAGACAAAACTTCAACACAAATAAAGAATAGAAGAATGATCAATCTATTAACCATTTGCATCTAGGACATTAGTTAGTTACCTAACAAGGAAAAAGAGACCTGTTGTATTCGATCACAGAAATTGTAAATTACCAGACCAGTCCAAAGCCATTTTGAACAAACACAACCTTGAAATAACCCGGTTTAGCGTTATATAAGACACAAATAGGCCCTCCAAGTCAAGAAATCAATTTCTAAACTGATCTGGCAGGGGTGCGAAATGTGAAAAGGAGTAAAAGAAAAAAAGAAGAGAAGAGAATTCCACTGCTGAAAAGCCCAGGCAAGGAAACGAAGAAATCACCAGCAGCAAAGTTTTTTCGGAAATTCGCATTCTCGTGAATAAGACCGGAAGAAAAAAAACGGTTGCGAAAAGGAAGGATGAAAAAAAACACAAGACCACCAAAGCCAATTTGACCTGTCCGTGTATACATTAAAAAAAAAGAGCAACTCGACCCAATACTTCTCTACCCCCAATTCCTTTTTTTAAAAAAAAAACCCAACCCAACCCAGAACCAAACCAAACGAGCAATATTCTAAAACGCAAGATAAGGTTAGCCAGCATCGTGTTGTACATACACCATCTCATTCCACCACATACAGATACCGAACCCATGAAGAGACAAACACTCA